CCCCACCCCACCCCACCCCACCCCACCCCACCCCACCCCCCCCCACCCCCCCCCACCCCACCCCACCCCACCCCACCCCACCCCACCCAAACCCACCCACCCACATATACAAGCACGCATTGGTGTGCAACAACGCACCTTCTGAACTTTGCCTGGCATTCCGCGATCATTCCTAGGAGTCTTCCTAATCACTTTGAAACCCAAGACAATACCCAACTTCTCAAACGCCAGCTCTGTGCTTTGATTTGAGCGTGCAAACCAACAGTGCTTCCCTTCACCTACAGGATCCCCGCATCTCCTGGCCGATTCAAAGACACGACCACGATTCTTCCCTCCATTGCAGGACTACAGCACAAGTACATCCCCAACCCGTCTGAGCTGGCGGGATTCAGGAGCACGGCCAAAATGCTTCATCCCACGTGCTGGGGGAATTACAAAACGAGGCCCATGTCTTAGAATTTGCCATCAACCTGGCTGTCCGGGCAACGTGGTCGCACGTTAGGACCTAAAGTATGCACCGCACCAAAGCGGGAGCCGCATCCCGGGGAACCTCCCGTTGCTGGTGCATGCTGGTGCCTCGCTGCCACAGAAACCGTTTCTCACTTTACTCCGAACGTTAGAATAGAACACTGGTTGGAGGATCATGCTGAATGTGTGAAAAGTTGTCTGTGTCAGAGAAACACAGAAAAAACACGTGCGTGCACTTGCATCTAAGCATACACTGCGAATGTAATTGGCATGACCCCACCGTACAGCCAATTCGACCAGAGCTGGAACCCTACGCCCTTGATGCAGCCCGCTAACTCCGTATGAACAAACCACAAGGCCTTTCCCTTCATGACATTCAGCTTGGTCCAGTTCAGGAACCTCGAATCTTGGACTCCATGAATGATCATGGCTTGGGGACATGAATGAGACGATCACTTCTTCCAGTACTTCACTGGCCAATTTTTGCTGTCCCTCCCATGGCATGTTTCACAAGAACAAGTGCAAGATCTTCAGCGACCACCTCAATCCGGTGCCTTGGGAACCAGCACAAAGCCTTCCACCTTTCAGATGCCTAGCAAGAAGATGGCGTCAATGCGGCTTCGTGGCTGGTCCGGAAGTTGTGTCGACTGAAGGAGTGAGACACTGCTCCTCGTACCACGGCCTCGGCTTTTGAACGCCACACAGGACGGGAAGGCTTCGGGGTCCGCTGACAGAGCCGCCCGTGAGCGGGCTTAGATCCGCCTGACCACATCCGAGAGCACATCATTACCAGTCAACATCTTAGGGCACTTCAACCGGGGAACGAACCTCTGCTATGATGCGTGTTGTTGCACGATAAGCTCGACGACTACCGGGACTACCGAACAGGCTGGGCACAACAACTGCATAGAGGATCGCACCACTCATTCTACACGGACCCACTGCCAACACCTCCGAACAGCCCAGCATCTGGAGCAAAGCACGTGCAAGGCAGAGCATGGAACCAGCTGATGAAATGGCTGCAAATTCCGCAGCCGATCTCGCAACCCGAACAAGGAGAATCAAACGCCGCGTATCGAATCCTGCCGCCTGGTGCCGCCTGGCCGCCCATGCCCCGTGTCGGGCTAGCGAAGCCGGCCCAGCCCTTCTTCTGACTCAGCTCCTGCGCTGAACACGAACTTCGGACGAGCTCGAGACGACGTGAATTTGCGGCTCGATTCTTGGGGTTCTGGTTGTATGATCTGCGGTTTTGCCTCTCAGGGCATGCCCAAGACGACTCTAGCGTCGTCGCGGGTGTGAAAGGCTATCCGGCTCCAAGTCTTTGTCGCATGCACTTAGACAACGGGCATCACCGGGCGATAAGGTGAAAGCATGTGAGCTAAGTTTTCCAACACAGTTACAGTACTGCATTAACCGCTCATTAGCACACTGGCAACAGCCGACCTCCGCAAGTAAGACCTCAGCGCCTGGTTCTGCTGCTTGCAAGTTCCCTGAAATAGTCAGAAATGCACGGGAGTTCTGACTTGGCTCTTTCTCAGGGCCTGTAGCTCCTTGACTCCTTCGAGACCCTGAGCAAGAACACTCAAACATGGCCAAGTTTTTGCACGGATCCTCGGGCGTAAGGTCAGCCAATGGGCTGACACCAGCCGTCCACAAGCGACCGGGTCGCGAGTTGATCGCCTGTAGACTGCAATGGGAGTTTGGACTCTAGCAGCTCGGACACTGCAGGCGAGGCTGATTCGGGTCAGAAGAGAATCAGTTCGCTGCTCTTGAAGACGGGGGTGGAGAGACAACTCGTTTGTGCAAGGCAAAGCGACGGGCCACAGTGTCTCTCCTGATCGCTTTCGGAGTGTCCACACAAAGTCCCAAACGGCTCTCAACTCCACAGGCATTGCCGAGCCAATGCGACAAGTAAATCAGCATGCCATCGGCGATTTGAAGCAACACGCGTAAATCCCTGTTTTGAAGCTGCACACAAAATGTGTCATGCTATCATTGCCATACACATGCATCGTTGCTCACTCCGGTACCTCCAGCACGGGTGATCGGGCTTGCTCGTTCGCTTCTGACAGGACGGATGATTGTGTTTCGTTGCTTTCCTCGTCTCAACGACGCAAACAGAGAGCCTGCCCAATGATTAGGCGGTCTGATTCTCATGGAGGTGCGACAGGAAGTCTATGCCTATATGTATTGCACAGTGGGCTGTGGACTTCAGCAAACAGGGAGACTCACAGGGATGAAATCACAATCCATTGCGAGCAACCATAAAAAAGGTGGGCAGTGCTCGGTGCAGGGTGCGAGCTGCATCAGATGCCGCGCTTGGCCTCAGCGCGGTGGAGGCGATCGCTAAAAATGGTCAAGCGCTTGAAGTACTCGTGTGTGCCTGTCGGCACTGGGCCGTGGATCATTCAAGCACAAGACACATGTCGGACGCTCGCGATGCATCAGAAAGCAACATCGGGGGGGAGGGGAAGGCGGGGTCGGCCTTTCTTGTAATTCTTTCCGTGCTGGTCGATAAAGCTGTGGAACGCCGCAATGTGATTGCCCGGAACCGCTTCCTTCAGGGACCCGCACATACTTCAACAGAACTGGCACATTGGACGATGGCACTTGCTAGGCTGTGGCATGCTCGTATCTGGCACAGGGACCCGCAATCGAAAGAACCCCCGGCCCTTACCGTCCTCGATCGAAGCGCCGGTGGCCAGTGAGAGGATGGCTGCAGCCACAAGCTTCATGGAAGGTTCGGTCGGCAGAGCACGTGAATTGCCCGAGTTAGCGCGTTTGAACCGAGTCGGCTTCGCAGGCATGAAGTTCATTTTCGACATCAGATAACAAGAAGCTACGACAGTCCGGATAAAACCATCAAAAGAAGTACGTTCGAAGTTCTACTTAAGCAGCAGCAGCAGCAGCAGCAAGAGCCGCCGCCACCAGCACCAGCACGACGTCACCGCCGCCGACTCCGCCGACAACACCGCCCCGACCGCCACCACCACAACCGCCACCGGTAGCACCACCGTCGCCACCGACAACCCCACATCACCGTCACCAGCACCACCACCCTCACCACGCCCAAACACGACCCCTTTTTATTGTGCCGGCAGCTGGGACACACATGAGAAAAGACACCAAGCTTCTGGCTCACTTTGGAGCGCCACTCGATGCGTGGAATGAGCCGCAAACTTGTGGTTACTGTTGGTAGAAATCTGCCTCTCAAGACATTCACTCTGACCCACACCAAGGGTAGCAGCACTCTGACAGGCAAATTCGTGATTGAACTGCCTCGGCGACAGGGCACGTGTTCCTTGCAATCACAGTCAGCTAGCTATGTTGCCATGCTACAGCCAGGCAAGTACGAACCTAAACAGGATAACATGGGGTCCGCGGATTCTGCGCTTCCGCTAGAAAAAACTAGAAGACGAGTGGCCCGAAAGCATCATTAGCCATGAGTTTTGGGGCCATGAGTGTCGGCTATAGAGAGTCTATAGAGAGTCTATAGAGAGTGTCGCAGAGTCAAGTGTGGTAAAGTCAAG